AAGGTTGGCAATGCACTCGTAACTCCTCTGTTGTTATTGGTTTCCATGCGCGGCGCTGATTGCTTACCATCAGGTTATATAAGAGGAAGGAGTTAGCTGAAGATGGTTTCGTATCTAAGTGAATTAGGTTACCGAAAAGAGTTCTTTATATAGGCATCATTGTCAATTTACATGACAGCTGGGATACGAAGCTGGTTGCGCGGCCGATGCATTCCAAAATGTAATTATTCCCCTCTCCCTTCCGCCATGCATCGGTGGACGATAAGCCGATTTCATCTAACCTCGTTCAATCAGCGAGCGCTGAAACCGAATACACTTGCGCAGATTTTCACCAGTATAGTTTGGGAGACAGTTGATACGTTTTTTGTTTATGTCTACATTGTACACATAGCATACTAGATGGTTGAAATACATTTCAGTTATATCACTGTATGTAAGACAAGATAAACAAACCGTATATATGTTGTGTTTTTAATTTTGTAGGTACATTTCTATCATTTTATTCGAGGGGGGATAGTCATCAATTGGATTCTCCCACGTGAGAGTTTCAGACTCTTACTGACAAAAACGAGCCCGTTCGTTTTCCTGCCTCACCCACAACCCTGCAGTTATTTTTACGTCAGAAACATCTTTCTTTCTCCTAATTTATTTAAAAAATAGTGTATCGTAAAATTTATAAATAAAGGTGTGATTATTGTCAATGATATCAACTTGTCTGTGGTACTTATTACTAAAAATAACCCTTCAAAAACGAATGATTATTGTTAACTTTAGAAGTATGTACTTATCAAAGATTGCAATGCAACATTTGTCTTGGAATACGAGTGCAGAGACTGCACAGTTTGTGTTTGCACTTGGTATTGTGAAGGCTCTTCGTGTCTGTCTGACACTAGCTGAGAAGTGCAAGCTTTATATTTCCCGCCAACAGCAAGACATACATGGTCACCACTCACCAGCTTCTAAAAGGATACGAAAATATATTGCCGGACAATATTTACTTGAGGTTTACTTCACTGCAGTTTATTGTTAGCCTGTCTTTTTTGCTAGCTCTGACTCAGAAAAAAGTGTAGGACTTGCTCAGTTACGACGGTAAAATCTACATATACTTAATATTATAAGCTTTTTTTTTTTTTTTTTTGTCAGGGGAAAATCATCCAATGACTTCTCCCGCCCAGGGTAAGGCGAGAGAGAGTGTCAGACTCTTACTGACTAAAAACCCCCCCGTTCCTTCTCCTGCTCTGGGCCGAGGTCGCGGTGCCTCATTGCGCTTACCCCGCAGCCCCGGCTAAACATCAGCCCTTTAGGGCCCCGACTGTGGTGGTCTATTGGCTCTTTGAGGCGCGCGCGGAACGCTACGCGCCGTACGCTCGGGTCCGGTTCTGGTCGGGCGGCGAGCTACCCTTACTCGCCGTCCGCAGACCCGCGCTTACGGTGGCCGGAGATCATCCCTCTAATATTATAAGCTGGAGAGTCTGTTTCAACGCTCTAACCTCCGAAACTACTGGTTCGGTTTGAATTATTCTTTTTGTGTTTGTTAGTCCATTTATCGAGGGAGGTTATAGGATATAAAATATCACGCTACCATCTGCGGGATCCGAGCAGCGGGTGAAACAGCGCAGGAGTAGTTATAAAGTATATTTTGAAATCATCACACCAATTTTTGCCCCAGGCAGGTACGCGTACACACCCATTTTTCTTCTATTGTGTCTCGAATTACCGCGTTTAAAACGTTAAACACACTAGGTAAATATTTGAATAGCATTCACTACTTTACTCTTTAATCACGACGTCATTTTCAAAACAATAAGCTTTTAGTTGTAGACAAAAACAATAACAACATACATAGGCCCACATTAAAGGTATGGACAGATTACTGACAAAGGTTCGAGTACTCGAAACCTGATAATGTGACAAGCATACAATAAGCCTTCATCGGCAGCCCTCTATCGGGCTTCTAGCTAAGTATACTTTAATATGTAGAATAGAATAGCTATTATGAATAGTGAGCCGTTGTCTATTAACAACAATACACTAGAACCTATCTTATTTCATAGTATTTTAGAGTCTGTTATTGTACTAGCGACCCGCCCCGGCTTCTCCATTATTTAATGGATGTTATTATATATATACACGTTCCTCTTCAATCACATTACCTATTAAAAAACCGCATCAAAATCCGTTGCGTAGTTCCGATTTAAGCTTACATTACATAGGGATATGGGGACAGAAAAAGCGACTTTGTTTTATAGCCTAAATTAAGAGCAAAGTTTTGTTGTTTGTCTGAAATCTTTTACATCTATACTAATAATAATTATTATAAAGCTGTAGAGTTTGTTTGTTTGTTTGAACGCCCTAATCTCCGGAACTGCTGATTCAAATTGAAAAATTCTTTTTGTTAGACCATTATCAAGAAAGGCTTATAGGCTATAAAACATCACGCTACGATTTAAAGAAGCAAAGCAGCGGAAGCTAGTGTATAAGAAAATTGACTTGTGTTACGACTTGCATACGGCTTCCGCAATTTATTGTGGACTATTTGAGTATGCTTCGTGTAATACATTTTTAACTACCTATGTGTTCTACAACGATTATGTACTTTGTTGTTTTTGAAGTTTATGTTTCATTTAATGCAATTTAGATATTACTTCAATTAGCTACAGTGGATAGTGCCATCGTTCTTATGATGGAAAGCTACAGGCTTAAATAATATTGTCCTTAGATTTCTAACTTTTCTGTGATTTTATAATAATTGCTGTGTCTGATAATTATCTAATTTAATTGAACTCCCTATTTTATTCATGGATTTGAAAAATATAATGACTGAAAATATAATGTCGTGGTGGCCCGGCCCGCTTCTCATGCATGAGGGTGTGGGTTCGAAACCTGGCAAGTACCAATGTGACTTTTTCCAAGTTATATGTACTTGAATCGTTGAAATAAAAAGTGTGCGAGAGCCATGCTTGCGGCACAAATGGGTCGGGTCGACCGGAGTGATACCACGGCCTCACAGAAGAGAAGAGTCAAATAACCACAGCTTGTTGTTGTTATTTTACCATGTGAGTGAGGTTACCGAATGCTTAATCCTTCTTCTCCCCCATTCCGACTCAATCCTTGAATCTCCAAGATGCGAATTCCCAGAAAGCTGGAAACGCACTCGTAACACCTTTAGTGTTGCGGGTGTCAACTTACCATTATGGTATTAGATCATATCATCAGATATCCGTCCAATCGTTTGCCTACATATCAGTTAAAAAAACTGCCGTATCATACTGAAAGACCGAAAGACCGAGCTACTTTATGATAATAGATACATAAATATTGAGCGCGTAAACTTACCTGTCTAAAATACCTTTATCATCCTACAAAGTATTTAATATATGCAGAATTTAGTACATTTCCCAGACGATTTTAAACTCTAGATTAACTTATGAAGTACACAAAGCGACTTTCATTAATCTTAGTTTCATAACTTAAAGGCCTCTTTGTTTCTTTCAGCGCCCTACTTAGTAGGAAACGGGTTTAATTAAGATATCATGGGAAATAAACCTCTCAACTTAGTAAAATATTAGTCTGTACAAGTCTAGATTTGAAATAAATTGGGGTTTTACTAATAATAAATTTTAATACTACGTTCCGCCTCTGTTTTAGTAGGGATGTTTTGTTTGTTAGACTATTAATTTATGACCGGGCTCCAGCCAAAAAATGTTCAATAAAGTAGCAGTATTAGGATGTGTGTAATCACAGATAGGAACCAACATAAGGCTAACACACAGAGCAGGAGAAGGAACGAGGGTTTTTAGTCAGTAAGAGTCTGACACTCCCTCCCGCGACCCTGGGTGGGAGAAGTCATTTGATGATTTTCCGCTTATGAAAAAAACTTCGGCCTAGAGCAGGAGAAGGAACGGTGAGTTTTTAATAATAGTTTTCTAATATTTTCTTTGATAAGAATCGTCTCCTGACAATAACAAAAAATTGGCCCAGGCTTCGTTGAGTTATGCGCTTACCAACACATTTTGCGAACCATTTTTATATACCTATGTATAAATATAACATTCCCGAATCAATCAAACTATCGAATGACAGGGTATGCCCTGGGCGAGAGAAGTCATTCGATAGTTTTTACTTCTCAAAAAATAGATGTGTGTGATAAGTATAAATGTGGAATTATACTATTGTTGCGGTTGTCCATGACTGGCACTGATTGCTTACCATTAGGTTCTCTCGTTTGTCATCCTATCACATAAAAAATACTTTACTTACTTCATCATCATCATTATCACCTACAATTACCTGTAACCAGCGGCTTCCTGCAACCTCAACTACGTACAAATACATACGTATAACTTGCGGGTGGACGTCCAGCTCTGTGCCTCTGGCCTACATTCGAAAACCTTCTAGCCCTAAAGGCCGTCAGTTCTCTAGAGTATGTGTCTCTGCCATCTTACATCAGTTTACTAATCTGCTGGGCTATGACGACTTTTACTCTTTTGTGGAACTCTTTATTTCTATCCGTGTTCCACGTCATGTCAAAAAGTTAATTAAAAGTAGCAGTATTATGTGTGTATTTACTAAGTAAAGAGACACACACAAATATAGCAATATTTTTACTTATCTGGGAATCGAACCCAAGACGTTTTTGTAACCAGCCTATATGATTTGGAGAGTCGGTCGCTTCAAACCTCTTTTATAAAAAATATATAAATGGTAGTCCAAAAAAATAATTACGGTACGGAAGACCCATTTATAACACAGATTGCAATCAGTTTGAAACCAGAGTCTATTGAAAAATATTTATAAACTTGTTTTTAACTAGTACAGTACAGTACAGTTCAGTTACATGTTCTTGTTGCTTATTAAACATCCTAGTTCTCTTTGGTCAGAATTTTAGATTTAGATCCTATGTCTTGATTATTACAACTTTATAGTTTTTACGTTGCACTAGGTTTAAATAAGTAATAGACACACATATATTATTTATTTATTTGTTTAATAGTATAGAACCCACTTATCCTAAGCAATACATGTACAAAAGTATACAATACATTTATGGAAGCTATCTACAACTATAGCTATAGGTAGGTTTAGGTACAGTTATGTACAAGAGTACTATTCATAAATAATAATTATTTACAAAGCAATTACTGAGTATGAAGTAAATTGCGTTACATTAGTTATCTCTATTACAGGTAAACATTACCTCCTCGTACGGTTTGCTAGCGGACGCACCGCATAGGGCCGGGCTCACAAAACTTTATAAGAAATACAACTCCAGAGTTTTCATGTTTCCACAAAGGCTATAAATCCCCCCGTTCTGCTGCTTTTGCACTGTTTACTGTTCACCTACTCGCAATACAGTTTATCACGTGCACTACAACAACGCATTCACAGTTTAAAGTTTCGTTTCTCGTGCAAAAGTTACGTGTTATCATCACATACACTGTTGAACACAATTTTTAACTTATAGTCCGCACTTATCGATTTTCCTTACAATATTTACTGGTCTACCTATCCTACGTAGGGGAAGGGTGCGAATGGCGGCTGGTAGTATCCAGGGAATCCGGGTGGGGCAGCAGTCGGTTGCACCGGGATTGATGACGTCACGTACGACGTCAACACAGTTGGCACAACTTGGGTGGTGAATAGGGTGGTGTACACCGTCTTCGCACCGAACGTTAATTTCAATACTTGACTATTGGTGGCTGTAACCTCTGTGTTTACCACGACTGGTGTGGAAATTACTGAGAATTGCTGCGGGAATAGAGGGTTAAGTGTTTGTAAAGGCAACGCCGGAAGACTGCTAGTTCCGATTTCATATTCAGTTTTAGTTATAGTCGCTACAGGCCTAGAAATGGTACTTTGAACCGTAGCCTTGCCATCAAACACCGGAATAACGTGAGACTCGTAAATTGTTTCGTACTTGATTACAGGTTTAGATGTGGTGACAACATCAGGAATTTGAGCAGCCGCTGCTGGATTCAGGAGTCTCAGGAGAGCAAGTTGTTGTGCCTGTTCTGGAGTCAGTGCTGGAGTGGGCGGGTTGGGTGATTCGGTCACGTGGTTACCTTTGTTTTGACCATGAGCTTTCTTAAGTCTCAGATGATTTTCATGCATTCTGTACTTGTCTACTTCAGTAAGGTCAAAGTCAGATCCAATGTTAGCGAGGTCAAGGTCCGGTGGGAATACACGTCTTGGAACACCATCTTCATCTTCATTACTATCACCAAAGTCTAACTCCAGATGTAATTCAGAACCAGCTTCATCCAGACGACTGTTAAATTCTTTAAGAGTTTTGCTCGGTATAAATTGGAAGAAGTCCATAGGAGGTAACGTTTTAGTCGCGGTTACGAATCGAGTAACTTCATAAGTTTGAATGAAAGTTAAGCTACTAGTCAAGTTAACATCTTTCACTACTGGTAGTATATGAGTTTTCAACATGTGCTGGGTTGTGCTGAATGTTTCGGTAACAGTTTCTAGCGGTGGTGTTTCCATGTCTGAAGATAATGTTATCGCGGGCAGAGTAGCAATACTTGAATCTAAAAGATTATGGTCCTTTTCGTAAGGAGACGCTGTCGCTAATATGTTTTCTGTCAACGGTTCGTTGAGAGAACTTTGCGAGTTGATTGCCTGCGTGGGTTCTATACGCTTTTCAATTGTAGATGTAACTGTAATTATACGAGTGTTTTTGACACGTCCAACCTGGAGGTAAAAAAAATGTTATTAGAAAAGTTATTTTAAAGGTAAATTCAGCGTAATTTTGACCAATAATTACCTGGAAGGTGTAAGGAGACTTGATAGTAGCAATTTCGTAATAAACATCTCTGAAATCAGCAGGAGTAGAAATTTCAACTTTCAATGTTTCCACTGGCGGCGGTTTTTCAATCGAGTTGTCCTCGGTGTCATTTTCAAGGAGAGTACCGGGACCACTCTGTGAACCTGATAGTTCTAAATCATTATCAGACCTTGCTTGCGGTGAAATATCATTGCTTTGCGTGTCATCAAGAAGCGGATTTGAGTTAGGCGTTGTTGGTTGCTCGTCATCAGCGTTAAGCTTGCGAATAGTCACTTTAGGCTTAGGACTCGTTTTATATTGCCAGCGGCCTGATCCCGGAGCGCGGTTCAACTTAAATTTATACACACTGGTTGTGGGTGCTGGGGTCACTTGCTCAACGGGTGTGGGCTGAACCCGAGGTTTGAATCCTCGTTTCGACTGGCTGTCGTTGTTGCTCGAGGCGCTCACAGTCGTCTTATGTCCAGAGTTACGGTTACTTTTCCTTCGGTTGGAAAACGATGGAGTCGCTGTTTCACTGAAAACAGAGACGGTTGCCAGTTGAGGCGTATTCACGGGGCGACCAAACCGTGTACTGAAAATAAAATATTTACAATTGCCGATGATCCAGTGATCAGTGATTATTTGACTACGTTGAAGCTTAACAGTTTCAATACACTTTCATAATTGTAGCAAGCTTGAAATCATGCAGATGAAATGGAAAAATCATATAGATAGGATAGTCGGCAATAGTACGACGGTTATGTGTCGAGGTGATAATGTTATTATAATATCTAGATGTTGTAAAAAATGTCACAATGACCTGTTAGTCTAGTCTAGTAAATTAGAAAAATCATCTGTAAACCTAACAACATCATTAATAACATGCTTTAAAATGATATGAGTTCTTTATGGTACATTTTGTGATAAGTGATAAATGATGAATTCAATATTCTTGCTAAGTATCTAAATGAAAATCAAAAAAAACTTAAAAAGTTACCTTTGTGTCCGTTGTGAATTATTGTTTCTGTTTTTGAATTTTTTGCTCTGGGCTGGAGCAGGGCTGCTGTGACTTTCATTTTCTGCGTTGTTGTTTTGAACTCTGTGACGATTTTTGAAGGAACCTCCACCGTTATTTTGGCGTCGTGTCGTTTTTCCATAATTGCTATCATCGTCATTAATAGATGGCGTTGGTTCCAAATGTTGTCTATGATTTTTAGATATCGAAGGTCCAACTGTCTTTAAAATTCGATGTGTTGGAGTAGGAGATATCTTTGCCCTGTGGCCAGCTTGTGGTAGCACTTTCGAATTGCTGTTTAGTACTTGAGCGTATTTACCAGATATAAATGTACCAATGACGCTAGTTTCATGAACTGTCGTTAAGCCGTCTTTGACTATCGTTCCTCCGAGTGTTGTTACTAAGCCGAGAGGATGATCATCATCATCTTCTGGAGGTGGGGTTGGTTGATGCCTGTTCTTATGACTATGCTTGTGTTTTTGACCAGGAGCTTTTGAGGGTCGTATGTTAATCACCTTGTATGTTTCTTCAACGAACTCAGAGGGCTGACGTGACAAAAAGTCATATTCAGGTTCACCGATGTTATTATTAGTAATCAGAACGGCGGGCTCTTCTTCAGCTTTGCTAGATTTAACTGCGACAACGCTACTGACTTTGGAACTAACTATCGATGGTGGAGGTCCCTGTTTTACTTCAACTTTACTGCTTACAACATTGGTGACAGATTTCACGCCATCATTTTTCTTATTTTTATTGGTCGATTGTGAGTTTTGTTTGTTTGATTTTTGGGATGATTGTTTAGGAGAGCTGTTTTCAACGATTTTGGACGGACCAGCAACTACTTCTACTTTCGTTATGATTTGTTTTTGCTCTTTTGCAACGGATTTAGGCACATTCGGAGATTTATTGTCCTTTTTCGGTGGGGATGATACAACTGAGACAGCACTAGATACTACTGCTGGGCCAGCGGGCTTGTTAGTTTTATCTTTATCCGATATTTTGCTGGGTTTAATGGCTTCAGGCTTTATACTGGTGACTGATGGTGGAGGTGGTTTTGTCTCGATTATGTTTTCTTGAACAGATTTTTCAGTTTTCGGTGGTTCTGGAATTATAGAAAACAATATTGTGACTTCGCTATTTCAAAACAAAAAAAAAAGAAACAGAGTGCAAGTTAAAATAAATAAATAAAAAATTGACCTGGTGGTGGTGCAGATTGGGGTGAGAAGACCATGACTGTGTTGCCAATAGTTGTAGTGAAGTCCAAGAAACCGTAAACAGTTTGAGTGAGGAAGTTGCCAGCGGGTGCGGTGTTGATCGGGTTACCTTGTCCATCGTAAACCGGTCCGTCAGCCAGAGTTATACTACCTGTAAAATTCAAATGTAGCATATTAATTAATATGTATGGTTGTCCTAAGAGACAGCGTTCATTTACTCTTCTGTTCGATGTGTGGCCGTAATAACTTTCATTCCAACTTTTTGGAACTTTTATCGAAATATTGTATAACCGATCAAACTAAGAACACTTCATGTAAGCCGCCTGACGAGAGTTTTTATGATGAAAACTCGGAGCAGAATGTATTGATAAAGGCGAAAAGCCAGTAACGGTGTTACTTCGGTACCATTGGCTGGCAAATGATCTGTGATAGTACCTTCATATGGCTTAAAAAAGAGAGAGTGTTTACAAACAAAGTCATTGTGGAGGTACGACCATAGTTAACCTAATGATGTGTGAACGTTAAGAAAAAGTGGTTGATATGAAAACAAATGTTGAGCTCCGCCTCGAATGTGGGTTGTGACTAATGACATGGCTGTGTTTGGGTTTGCGAATTTTATAGGGTGTTTTTGCATTTTGAATCGTTGACTCCGTTTTTTAGGCGCCGGCGCCGCGGATCCTTTACTTTTAGGTAATACGCGTGATTAAATTAAAGTGGGCGACTGGTACCTTGCTAAAGACAAGTCGATTTAAACATTTCAAAAACTAAATTATGGGAATGTTGTTTTTCGTAAAATATGTAGGTATATTCAAGCCGTACAAATAAGGTTCTGTAAAATACGTTCCGTCCAACCGATAACACAAATATGCAGTTAAATGAGTTTTCCCGTTTCTCTATGGCAATTTAACATTTGGTGAAAAGAATGAAATACATATTTTTACATCTAAATTGTTTTTAAATGCTAATATCAAACTTATGAGCTTTAAATAATATAAAATAGAAGAAGATATCTGTCAAAATATGAGTCCACATAAAAGTCGGTATCTTACATATTTCAACGATACGTTTCTACTAAACTGACTTCTATCGGAGTGCGCGTAACAATATAAAATTTCAATTGTGCCTCTGGCATTGGGAAGTGTGTAACAGATTCCAGGATCGTGTCGCTATATCCTTGTTACTTCCGCACCATTTGCTGGCAAGTGGGCTGAGATAGTCCACCTTAGATACGGATCGAGAACCTCAACTCGTCCTCTGCTATTCCAATCTATGTACTTTCAATTACTTTGCCCAAAACTTTGGGTTTTTGTCCTTCTAATACACATTCACACATATTCTCACGAGCAGTTTGTCGATAATCCTTATTCATGAGTTTTCGTATTGACATGTTTACCCTATTTACGCATTCGTAAGTTCTATTCAAACTTTTTCAAATGTATTTACATTGGGAGAGTAATATGAATTTATTGGAATATTTTCGTCATCGAAAATATTTGTGGGATATAATGTTTTCTAAACAAATTCTGTGGAATACACTCCTATGATACAGGAATTCATGATATTAGTTTGGATATTGGGGTAGTTCTATCTATAGTTTGGCTTTATTCCGAAAGAACTGAGTAAACAAATGTTTTCCAGAAATATCTTGCGATTGAGATATTTTTATTTTGTTACTCTTAGTATAAGTAAGTACCTATTGGTACTAGGTGGATAGAATGCTAAGTTTTATTGAATTTTTTTTATGGTATTAATCGGCAAACTAGCAGACGGATTACCATGGTAAGCAATCGGCGCCGCCCATGTACACCCGCAACACCAAAGGAGTTACGAGTGCGTTGCCGGCCTTTTGGGGATAGGGGTTGCGGATATAAGGATCGGGAAAAGATAGAGGAAGGGGCGGGATTGGGCCTCCGGTAACCTCACTCACACGGCGAAACACAACGCTGTGGTTGTTTCACGCCGGTATTCTGTGAGGCCGTGGTATCACTCCGGTCGAGCCGACCCATTCGTGCCGAAGCTTAGCTCTTCCACACTTGATTCTGATTCCAATGCAATGAAAGTTCACAAAATGTAAACGCAATTCTTTACTCTGACCTTCTAGGGAATTAAAACTAATAATGTAGCGACCATACTTACATAAATGGGCGGTGATCGCCAAAATAACAAATAATGTTCTATCCATGGCGCTTGATTCTTCTATTCTATTTGCAAATTAGATGGATGTCTGGTGGCGTTGCGCTTTCGTGCCGCAAGCCAACCTCATTCTGTGGTGAAACCTGAAACAATTTAAAATAACGATTAAGGATTTGTTTAGAAAGATTTATATACTAATTGTAAAATCACTAAGTTTTTGGTGCCAAAGGTCCTGCACGTAGCAGGAGTTGGATTGGGAGTGGTTTTTAGGTGAAGAGAAGTTATATAATGATTTTACACTCACACAAAAAAACAAAATGAAAAAAAAAGCTATAATTGGTAATTGGGTGAGCAAGGACAACAGTCCAAACCTAAAAAATATGAATTGTTTAAGACCTACGAATACGGATCCCAAAATAATAAAAATTGTTTGAATAAATACGAGAAAAAATCCATGGCTTAGAACCCATTAAATACTGTTCTGCATTGTATTTTTTGAAGTATCACCATAAAAAACAATTCTCTCCCAGAAATATAATTCGTGTAGGTATTAATGATCGTTTGAATGAATACGAAATCAACCCGTGAACCACAACGCATCGACGGACAAAATAATCAGTCGATATGCAAAACGTCGGGTCGCGGTCACCCGTCTCATTTCAGCGGCCGACCGATTTCATTGCACAAAACCAATACAAATTTTAATATAAACATGTTTGACCGATTGCTCATTGCCTTCGTAATTATTATGGTATTCCCGGCGCATTAAAACATTGTTGTTTTAATTCAATTTGGGATATATTTTATCGGCAATCATTTATGCCGGTGACAATACTTTACATTGATTTTGGTTGTGATTTGTGTAATAAATTTATAATTAAAATGGAGGACTAGGATTCATGGTTAGTTTTGCGGTTTGTTTTATAGTATCGAATTCATTATCTGTACGTCTTCTAAGTATTTCAATTAAATCCTTAAGGCCCTTATTTAAAAGCCTTGTAGTACATTTCAGTCTCGCCTGTTTATAGACCTGTATAATTTACGATGTTCTCAATGATTACGGTTGGCAATTCACGATGGCATCCTTTGTGAGGTTTTGGCATTTGAAGGCGCCATTCGAGGGACTAATCTTAATGCCGCAAGCATTAGCTAGAGCTCTTAGAAATATGACTGTTTATTGACAGAATTCTTGAATACACTTTTGACTGACTGAATAGTTTGAAAGAGACCGATTATTTGGAAAGGGCCATTGCATTTTAAAGTCGTCTGGAGCAAAGATAGTTAAGCCCGTGGACGTCAGTATATGTAATTAAGTACATACCGCACCTCTCAACGTGACATCTCTAGGGACTCTACATGTATAGGTGGATGCGTCCAAGCCAAATTCCCGGGCAGATTGGCATCCATTGTGCCTACCACCGGCTCAGACGGGGCTGCATAGCGGAACGTATTGAAACCATTTGAATGCTTAGTGAGTTCCGATTGTTGGCACCGAGTGCATTGCAATGGGTAAGGGAATTTATGGAGTATTATTATGTACCAACTTGAGCACGCCTTTATTGGATAGTCTGTGCTCAGTGGTCTAGGATGATCAAAGTACTTCTCTACTTACTGTTATAAGTCTTGAATTGTATTAAAGTAAATGATTCACCACCATTAAGCCCACATCGCATCATCGGCCTATATGTGCTCACTGCTGAGCAAAGGCTTCTGCTTACACTAAAAGAGTTTTAGCATTAATCACCACAACTCTCAAGGCTCCATTTCCTCACAATTTTCTCCTTCCCTGTATATCACTGGAGTCTAAATAATCATAGAAAGTACATATAACTCGAAAAAAGTCACAATGGTACTTGCCAGGTTTCGAACTCGCACCCTCATGCATGAGAAGCGGGGGCGCCTTAACCTACATGTATATCAATTTATTGAAACCCAGATACGGTATAATTGATTTCTAAGTTTCTATGAGACTTGAATGAGCAGCCATTACCTACTCGATCATAAGACAGGACTCTGGCACGTTGTGAAAGAGCCTGCCTCCTTTTGTGACCGTGTGGGGTTCAATGTGTGTGTGTGTATATGTGTGAATGGCCGAGGTATGCAAGTGTTTGCTCGCGAGATGGCGCGGTGATGGAGCGGTGATGTTTGTGGCTCCCTCCCGTCTGGAACTATTCAGCCGATGTTCCTATACTGGTACGGATAGCATACAAAATTAGAATTAAATGTTCATTTTGTTTTTGAGTTTTGTCTTAGAAAAAATGAAATCTTTTGGTGTCAGTCAGTTGTTTGTAAAAATACATTTTTTATCATGTTAAAATGGATTTAAATCAAAGTTTTCTTTCTAAACTACGATTTTCTTTCACAACAAAAAACGTTCCACATTTTCTATTTTTATTATTCATTTCCACATTACTAGTCTAGGAGACGGAACATAGTGTTGTTTAAGTGAAGTGCAAAATGTACTTGAAACTAACTTGTTCAGACGTAACGAAAACCGGTGTAACTTGTGAACGTTTATACCTATTGTGTATTGTCAACGTAATAGATGTGAGAGTACATAACTGCGCTTTCCGGAATCGGTTAACTAGTGAAGAAGGCCGTCTACTGTTACATCATTTGTTTTGAGCTTATCCTGTATGTGTATGTGTTCTGAATATGAAGGATTACTTGTGCAGTTAAGGTCTGTTAAAACAACAACTTCTGTTTTTCTATGAGTTTCAGTTTTATTTCAAACTATTAACTTCATGCGATGTCTGAAGTCCGGTTGGTATGATATTCGATTGCCACACGGAACAATTTTTTGTGTGATTCACAAATTGCTATTCCGTGTTTCTATACTCATGACATAGGAGTAGATTCTGCTGTGTACAATTTTTTCCTTTATAATAACTATCTTATGTATTCTTCAGTGTTAATTAAGCTGAAATCTTAGTATGTATCTGGTCTTATTGTTGTTTTTGCGACTCTAAAATAGACTCTATGCTATTTATTATTACTTAGCTTGATGCGAATATTGAACAAACACTCTTCCGCCTTTTTATTCGCCATACATAGTTACGGCTACCACGCTAGGTACTAATGAGACATGCAATATTTTGGTATTTACATTTTGAATCTTGAGATTCTTTTGCGAACGGTACAACCTGTATCTGACCAAGTAGGCAGCCGGTCGGTTCATCCCTCTATTCAAACAAAATTTAATGAGGCGTACGCCCATACACGAGTGTGCGCACTCTCCCACAACCCCGCATGATCCATGATAATTATACGCACTACTTATACCAACCGAATCCGTAATGACAGCCCTAATAAATAATACATCAAAACAAGCCAAAATTTATCGTTAAGCGAAATTCATACGCGTGTATAAATATATGTATTTACATACCTGTCGAAATATTAAAATTTGCGTTGTCCGTGATAATTAAATAACGAACAAAATAATATTATTGTTTGAGAACGCCGATGGCGTCCGCGTTCGCTGCATTGATTAAAGATGTTGATTAAATAGTACAATGTAATAGTTGCGCGAGGCAACCTTAAAATTGCACAAAAGAGCGGAAGGCAGTACGAACGGAAGATAATGAATAGCTACGAATATTTTTGTTAAGACTTTCTCACAAAACTTTACCTAACAAACATTGCTAATGAGGTTTTATTGAATTACTGGATGTGCCAAATCAAAATAATTACCACAAGGTTGTGAAATAAACACTGAATGATGGATAAGGAATGTGTTGTTATCATGCTATGTCAGATAAATAACTGTTATGATGCATTATGTATATCCGTTGCAAGTCATCCAGCGATCACGTTGAAGGAATCATTAACAATAGCCATCATCATTTCCTATTCTCATTCAGAAGGTATTAGGGAGATATCTTATGATGAGCTTGGGATGGTCAGTTTGGTATATTCCCTTATACATTGTGAAAGCGTAGTTCCGTAGAGTAATATCACTTTCCAACATTTAAAAACTAATTTGAAAATCACTGGAATATTTTCTTGTGTTACACGACACTGGAGCTGATCGCATTACATTCGTAAGCACGTAGTACGAGAAGAAAGTTTATCGCTGTTCAAATGTTCTGCGTACGACAACTAGTAAAGTAGTCAACTATTTTACTCAGGTGTACACGCCTTATGGGGACGTAAATCGGGATTTTCAAGAATGTTTTACGAGTTTCTATTCAGTACAGAAAGTGTAAGCCTCTTTTCAGATTTCCAGACGTCTTATAAAGGATTTAATCCTCGCCTTGGAAATGTAAGGTTGCGCGACAATGCATCATTTCTTCGCTTTGCTTATGAGGAAAAATGTATTCAATCCTATTTCTTACTCTCGATAAAGTTTTCATATATCTAAAAGGCTGTCTGTCTCTAGAAGCGTGTATTATTTCTCAAATAACTCGAGGGAGAAGAATATTTCGTTACAAAAATATCAGTAGCTGTGTTAGCAAGGTATGTAAATATTTGTCGATCGTTGTCGGTAAACTAGAGACGAATGTTGTCCGATAATTTATGTTGGCAACCGTGCCTATTGTCGGACAAACAACGCGCAGGCTCGTGGCCAAATTTATATTCCAAGTTTGGGTGAACAAGGGCTGCCCACAGAAATGCCCTCCCGACTGAAACCGATAAAGAACTTACTAAGCAGAACTGATACAAATGACCGTAAATAATACAAAAGCTTAATGTTTATTCTTTGTTTTGTGTGATAGTTTAGTAGAAGTGGAGATAGTTTGGTATAATATAAATGGAGGGCCTGAATTAGATGCATTTGTAGCGAAGGTTTTTGATTCAATAAAACGCAAGGATACGAGTGAATTCGTAGTCCGCGCAGAATATTATGTTAAGTAAACAAGCTCTCGAGGACGGGCACTGACGCACCCGGTTCCACGTTGCACTTTCAGTCATTGGGGATTACGAGCCATTTTTGTTCCAAAATTTTTTTTGCGCATAATTCTTTAAAATTTCGTTACTTTATTACGATATCGATTACATTTTTATTTGAATTCTAAACATGCTCTAGACTTAGAAACATTACATGTAAATTGGTATGAATGCACAGAATTTTAATCATTCATTTAACAGTTGTCACTAAAAAAATCGCATTTGTATTCTCTTTGAAAATGACATTTAAAACGATATAAGTATTAGGTTAAGCTTCCATTATTATAAATGTAG